TAAGCAATTAAAGCAGCCACTATCATGAGCGGGATCAATGTAACGGCAGTTGTTATGAAGTAAATTTAAAACATTAACTCTAACTCAAACCCTAATTGATACTTGTAAAAGATTAATTTACCTATTTTATTATTATTTCTCTTTTTTTTTACCTTTAATGTCCTGACATACTATATAAAGTTTGTAAATTAAAAAAGACACTTTATGAACTCAAGCACTCACGTAGAGTATGGTTTGGTAGATTTGTAATGGTAATGATAAGCTTGGGATACAAGTAAGTTCAGGGAGATCAAACTCTATTTGTCAAGAATCTTGAGACAGGGGAGTTACAGTCCTCATAATACATGTCAATAACATTATTGTAACATAAAGTGATGAAAAAAAAGGATTGATGCTTAAATAATGCATGGTTGGAGAATTCAAAATGAAGGAGTTAGGTAAATTGAAGTACTTTCTGGAAATTGAAATTGCCTACTCAAAATTAGGACTTTTCATCTCTTAGTAGAAATACATTCATGACCTGTTAAGAAATGTGAACAAATTAATATGTAAGTCAGCTATATTAGAGATCCAAATCTTTTTTTTAGAGATAAAAATAGTGTGAATGACAAAAAAAGATGCACTAGTAGATAAGGAGATGTATGATAAACTGGTTGAGGGACTAGTATATTTATATTTTTTCTTTTTCCAAATAATAGAGTTGCTATTGTATGATAATGGGGAAATTAAACGATGGAGATCAATAGCGTTTTGGGTTTAAGCAAAACGCAAGGATGAGGGGTTGTTTCACTAAAACACCGAAAATCTGGCTCAACAGAAATTAGAATAGGCCAAAGGAGATGGTGTGAGCTGAAGGGGTCACTTGGGAAACTAATATGCCTATTATACACAAGATCCAACATTATATATGTAGGAAGTGTTATAAGTCAGTTCATGCACAACTCTAAAAAAGTACCTATACAAACAACCTATAAAGTGCTGCATTAAAAAGGTCACTTGGGAAAGGTCCACGTTTAGAAAGAATGACAAATTACTCCTAGAAACTTATAGGGATGTAGACTACGCAGGGTCAGTGGTGACAGAAGATTTACCACGGGTTACTATACCTTCCTTGGACTAACTTGGTTTTGTGAAAGAGTAAGAAACAAAATGTAGTTAGAGGGTCTAGTGCAAAATTAGCATTCCTAGCACTAGTTCAAGGGGTATGTTAATAATTTTGCTAAAGAGAATTTTAGAAGATCTGAAAATAAAGTGGGATAGCCTGGTGTGCCTATATTGTGACAATAAATTGACTATAAACATTTTCCAAATTTAATACAACATGGCAAAACTAGACATATTGAAGTTTACAGACATTTTATTAGTAGAATTTGGAACATATTGTTTCAGTTCTACGTGGGATTCCATATAAGCTCAATTTTTATAATCTTCTAATAGGATTTGTATTTCTCTTATTATTATTAGTCTAGATCTTCAAATTAATTCCACACAATTCCTGTCTTTGTTCCAAGGATAGCCACCGTCCTTTTTGGAGTCTTTATTACCGATTTTATGAAGGTATTGGAAGACTATCTTTTATTGAGTTTGCTTATTTTCCTTTTTGAGGATGCTGCAGGAGGATTCATTGTCTATCCTTTTTTGTAAAACTTTCCCTTTTCTGGCTTTTATTGTTTCTTTAAATTTTGGAATTTGGAGTCTTTGAATTTTACACCAGTATATCCTTCTCTGCTTGTCTTATAGACAGTCCTAATATGGGGCTTTCAGTAGTGTATTTTTGTAGGTGACTGCTCATTCCAAAGTAAAGATTTTTGTCTGAACTGTTGTTACAGAAAAAAGTCAAAACAAATTGTCTGCTTCGAGCATGTAGACCCAGTCATGCTATCTCTTCAAACTTGTGTATAGACCCAATCATGCTGTCTCTTCAACTTGTGAATAGACCCAATCATGCTATCTCTTCAAACTTGTGTATCATTTGTTTTTGGAAGGCAGAGTCTCATTGTGCCCCTTTCTTGCATTGTGGCAAAGGTCTCAAGACTTTAATCTTATTTGATACTTGGCTTTATGTGGTTCTCTTTTCCAGCTCTTGAGTTTTTATCGTTTCCCCTCTTATTAGGGGAATTGGAGAGAAGAGGTCAAGGTGCTTTAGGGAGGAGTTCTTTTTGCTTGGTTATAATTGTTGTCATTGGAGATAAAGGCTAGGCTCTTCAAGAATGACCTTTTGGCTTTTCTGTGGGCCAAGGCTCATGGATATTTTAGCAATATCTCTTTGACTGATTGCAAAGGGACTACAATGTGGTTCTGCGTTGATTTTTCATGTTTTTGTTTATTCTTCCTTTCTTCTTTATTTCTCATCAGAGGATTTCTTATCCTGTCTAATATATGCTTCTTTTACATTTCCTAATAGTATTTCCTTTTTATCAAAAGATTACTTTCCTCTTACTAATAGTACTTTTGTACTAAACAAGATCTTAGAAGCTTTCTTAAAATACCATCTTTTGTGTTCTGGGTCATTTTCCTTAATAACCTGTTAGACATTTAAACATTATGTTTCCAGGTTACAGTTAGTGGCCACAGCCTTCTTTTTCCAGAATCAATTTTCCAACTGCTTGTTGAACATGTTTCCCTTAATTAACTTCTTACATAATTTTGGATGACTTGTTCCTAAAATTTTAAGAAAAATGGATAGCCCAACGAAAAGAATTATCATTGCATAATGAGATTGACATGCTTTAATAGATATCTACCTACCAAGACAGGAGGCATTGTGCATATCCCAATTTTACTTCAAGTATGCCAGGCTTTCAAATAGTCCGCAGAAGGAATTCTAGAATGTGTGGGAATCTTTCTTATTCTTATTTTCTCTCCCCCTTTTTGCTTGAGTACCCAATGCATCAACATTTAAATATTTTTTTGTCTGTAAGCTGGTTCCTATATAATGTTTTTTCTGAGTGCATTGTTGTTTTAGTTATTTAAAATGGTGATTTGTGATGGATTCAGTACTTTGATCTAGAATTATTGCATTGAACAAAATTGATGGTTTTGTTTTTCTATAATCAAGAGTTGAGAGAAGCACATTTCTGTTGCTTCTCCAAGTCCTCCAGTGAGCTTTACAGGATATATAAGAGCTAAGTTTTCCTTTTGTTTCTTGGCAAAGAGAATCTGTCATATTAACATATGTAAGCATTTTTTTTATCTTGACTAAAATGTCTGAATTTTTTTGGTAGAGCTGATTTCTATTCATAAATAATGTTTCTTTCATTTTCAGAATATTATTTACGAATTGATAGTTTTAAAATGGTACCATAATACATTTGGATTCTGATGATTGTTTTCCATCTTGAACATATGGTTATGTGTTAATCTTTGGTCCTTGTTCCTGCAGAGAATGGTGAAGTAACTTATGTGGTGGATGCATATGTCTCAAGGGGAATGTCTGATATTTTCAATGGAAAACTGATGGTAAACGTACATCTTAAGTGCAATCATTTTCTTTTTCCTTCTTTCTAGTTATTGTTGTAGAGCTCTGATCTTCCTTTTTACCAAGCGGTTTCTGTTGATGAGAGTGCTAATACTTCACTTTTAACTGTTAAAGATTACTTCCTCAGGTAGGTCAGATTCCATAGCAAGAGCACGACCATTTCTCTCCGGTAAATATATTTTTTAAATCTAAATAGTTTTATAAGGGTGTCTTTTTTACACATCATAAATATATATTTATGTCTCTGAATCAATATTTTTTCATCCCAGCAATGTGTGAAAAGCTTTATATATGTGAAGGTGAAGTTGGTGCTGGAAGGTATATATCTTATCAAAGCTTCTCCCAAAATGGCTATTTCTTGACATGGTGTTATTTTGTTTCTGAAAGGCTCACAAAAAAGTCATTTTTTCAATATCATGGTAATTTATGCTGGTTTGTCCACTGAATATTTATATACACTCCAATTCAGTAATAAAGAAATACTGTTTTGATGGTTAATAGATAGAATTATCTGTAGTACAATATTATTTCTTGTTCCTCGATATTCTGCTTGTTATCATGTTTACAAGTAAAGAAATATTGACAACGGCTCAGAACCTATATGGTCAAAATTTAACAGATCTCAAGTCTGCCTCTTTTACCGGTTAGATGACAGTCATCTAGTTCTAACTATTTTCTCGCAGCAAAGTCAAGTTGGTCAATGAGCTGCTTGAGGGGATTCATCTTGTTGCTTCTGTAGAGGCTATATCTCTTGGTACTAGTGCTGGGATTCACCCATGGATACTCTATGATATCATTTCCCATGCTGCTGGAAATTCATGGTGAGTCTTATTAGAATTTTTTTTTTCTCATTCTTATTATTTCTTACTTGATGACATTTTGGGGTTCAAAAGGGGAGACTTCTTTTTAATAATATACTTTTATTGAAAACAAAAAGTATAGCAAAAGAAGAGAGGATAAGGAATTCTTCAACCAAAAACATAGAAAGAAGAAATACAAAAAATAAAGAGAAAAGCCTTGACAAAATAGGGATCCAATCCTTATGAAAGTAGATAAAACCTTTAGGACTTTAGCTCAAAGGGAAGGAAAAAAACCTTATCCCTTTCCAAACCATGTAATGCAGTTGAAAATGGTGCTAAAAAATTCTTGCATTCCATCCCAACCAAAATGACCCACAAATCAGTGAAAGTTGCCTTCTTCATAATACCTTATGCTCCTTGGTCCTTCCAATACCCTCATAAGATAGAAGAATAGAAATCTGTACAATAGGGGGATCCTCTCACTCAATCCCAAACAGTACGGATATCCCTTGAGGCGCACGAAACAGGTGTGTCAAGCAGCTTATCTAAATCCTCCCATATATCTCCCACATGGTCCCCTCTCCCCTCACAGTGTCTGCCTTTATTTCTTCAAAGACCTCTTCTTTGTAACTGTTCGTATCGTCTAAGATATGAAAGAAATAGAGTCC